GAAAGTTCTAGATCTCAAATTGTCTTCCGAACAGATATTTTCCGAAAATTGACGTTTGGTGCCCCTTGTTTTCTGGAGTGGTCAATTGGGTAAGTTCAGTTCGATCCCTGCACAAGCCTACATCCTTGGAAGGCTTTTTTGCAGCTGCAAAAGTTTTAACTGCGATGATCCTCTTTGCATTTAAAATATTATTAACATTGATTATAGTGAATTTGCCATGTTTTATGTCTAGTTGCTATTGGTTAAAAAATGAAGAATTCACAGCATGCATTTGTAAATGCAAATACATAAGTCCTTTCTGCGGCGTTAAATTGCATTGCATCTACTACTCTATCTATCTCATTATCACAGGTACTCTATTCAACGTAAAAAGATTGTACAACTGTGAACACCAAGCTTTTTCGGTAAGAAGGCTAGCTAGATGTTGGCCAATAAGTATTTTTGCGCTTTTATTCCGATATTTCATTGTTAGTTAAATTTATTGGATAGTGAAATATAACACGGAAATACCTCATGAGGGTGAGGAAATATGGCATGTCTAAAAAGCCGTACGCCATACCATTTTTATTAGACAGTATAGTTAGGGGTCAGTGCCCTGACTGGCATAGTTTCCCATGGGAAGGCGGGGCAAATGAGCTCCTTAATGGTCAACTTATAATTATTCTTAAAGAGAAAATGGCAGCATACCATAACATTCTTGTTGTGTGCATTCAAGGCTTTGTTTTTCTATTCCATAGCCATTAGTGTTTCCTCCACAAGACAGTTGATCGCCGCCGTGGTAACAATATCGCTCCCTGGTCTTTTTGCAGTTTGTGTCGCATGGTGTGTAATCTGTCCAGGAGGACCAGCCAAACTGAGTTGCTGAATTAAGAGAATTCGAATTTATTATCTTCGATGATATTGCCCTTGACCTCTAATGATAAGAACCATACTATTTAGGACCATATTAAATGACTTGGCTCGACTGTAGGGTCGTTAAAATATTCTCATCGACATCATCGGAGATTTTTCACTTTATCTAACAATTGCGCAATAGGAGTGCCTTTGATAACGTGGAGTATCCATCATGATTTCATTCATAAAGATTTTAAACTAGGAAAGTAACGGCTTGAATACACTAGTCCTTGTATACTAGTCCTACGCTCTACAAACATTCTCTACTAAAGGTTAGTGTTATTTCTTCGTTTTATTCGAAAGTACTAAGGGGGTGGTCAACTAAGAGAAAGCTGTCGCTACTTTGAGAAACACACTCATTTTATAACCCGTACTGTAATTATTTTATTTTTGTAATCATCTATTGTAGTTATATTTTTCTTTCTAAGTTACTCTCTGT